TTGATACCAAACTTATTGACATACATTCATAAAATAGTAGTTCAATAAAATTTTGAATGTAATTCTACAAAGATGATGATGCCCTCTGACCCCTACCTGTAGCTGGCAACACGGTTAAACCTCTCGTTGTCCAATTATTGAAATTGCAGATCTCACTATCTTGCATTTTTACCAAATGTGAAAAAATGGCTCTTCTTGTTTTTGGGTTGCCAACACCTGGCTTAGAATATGGATTTAGGACCAACTTAAATTTCTTTAAATTCACTGAACTTTGCGAGATATTACTGAGATTACAGGCAAAAACATAAATAAAAAAGCAGCAAGAGTAATCAATTAATGATTCAATGTATATTTGTATATACAGTCAGACCACTACGTTAAATTAGCTACTTTATTCACAAGGTTAAATTTTAGTTTTGAACTATGTACAGTAGGGATTTTATAAGAAGTTATTGATAATAGAGGCTCACTTGAAGCAGCACTGGTTTGCAATTTTTGAGTTTTATAGTAGCATGTAAGATATGGTCCACAGGTCAAACACTTTACTTATTTATACAGTCATGGTGACTTCATGCTGTAAAAATCCACATGGATCTTACAAATTTCCTTTTGGACAATTATTCTGTCAAATACTTTTTCATTTCTGTGACATTATCAACTTAAGTTTGAGTGCAAAATGTACACTTGTCATACACTTAAAAACCACTTAAATTGTTTCTAAAAATAATGCCAGATCACGAGATGAGTTGAACATTACTGCAGTTTATTAGACTTTTCAGAAAAACAATATAAAAGTCTACAATTATAAAATAGAACTTCTGGTAGTGTAGGTACTTGAAATAAATTTCTATGTTGGAAGAAATCTACATGCTCTTCTATATAATTCCCAACTATTCACTTTTCTTTCCGTAATACTCTAAGTAATCATCATAATAAACTACCTTGTTTTCCCAGCTTCCAAAGTAGGTAAAAAACAAAAAATAATCTTGAAGTTTCTCAAATACAAAAGTCATAGCTTCCTGTAATTTTGCAAAATTGCACATACATTATACCAACACAAAAATAATCTTGAAACTTCTCAAGTACAAAACAGTCATAACTTCCTATAATTTTCCAAAAAATTCACTTACATTATACCATGCAACAAACTCTCCAAGTCTAAGAGCAAAGGATTAAGCTTAATAAACCATGAAAAAAACAACACACAACACTTGTATGAAATGAGTACAAATTAAAAAAATAACTGCCAATTAGTGCTGATAACACTATGCAATAAAAAGGAAACTGTAACACTGGGTTTTAGCCAGTGACCTGATCACCCATCTTTTGAACAAACAATTATCTATCAAGACAAGCAAATATTTGAACAGTGAGATGACAAGATACGCATAAATACAAAATTAATTTCAGTTAAACAAAGAAAAGAGACAATATATTTGTCCTTTACCATTTAATAAAGCATTTAATTCCTTCTGTTGTTCCCTTGTGTATTACTTACAAGTATCAATATGAATTAGTACTTTGGTTTTACATGATTCAGCACTCATGGTTTCAAACAGTATTCAGTTCCTGATTCATTTAAATAGTAATTTGAAATTCAATTTGAATTTGGACTTCATTTCTGAATGATTTTTGATGATTTTTTTTTAATGAGATCCTTAACATTTCAAAGACTTGAAGGGTGTCATGGATATCCTATTTTGTTTCTTCTAGTAGTTGTATTAGTTAACTAAATTCTATAAAACATTGAACAAACTTACTACATAATATCTAGTTTTAGCTCAATTCTCCCAACATGGGATCGGTCAAATTCACTGACCACTTGACCACATTGTACTTGTTATAGTTTCGATATACTAACTTCTAATATAGAATGTGTTTTGTTTGGTTTGTTTTGAATTTTGTGCAAAGCTATACGAGAGCTATCTGCACTAGCCGTCCCTAATTTAGCAGTGAAAAACTAGAAGGAAGGTAGCTAGTCATCACCACCCATCTCCAACTCTTGGACTACTTTTATACTAACAAACAGTGGGATTGACCAATACATTATAACACCCCCACCCTGGCTAAAAGAGCAAGCATGTTTGGAGGGACTGGGATTCGAACCCGCAACCCTCAGATTGCGAGTCAAGCACCCTAACCACCTGGGCATGCCAGGCCTATAGAATGTGTATCTGCACAAAACATGGGAGACTTTCAGTAAATATTACAAGTTTTTACATACATAAAATCAGATTTTTAGTGAAGTATTTTTGATAAAGATTTGTCTGTGAATATAGAGACTATTTTTGGACCAGTCCCAGTGTAAAGTGATTTTTATCTTAAGATTATTAATATTTTTCTTCATCTCAAAAATCTAAAATTTCATTTCTGTAATATCAAAAACCTCCTAAATACATTTCAAAGGTTGTTTTTTCAGTAAAATTTTAAATTTTATCTGTTATTTTCTCTACCTAACTCTATACAAGGTTGGTCAATTTGACTGACCTCATAATTACACACAAAAAATCTAAATTAATCTGAATTACACCTTTTTTTCTAATAATTTCCTATTTTTACATTCTAGTTACTTTATCAATAATCAATAAAGAATACACATGAAAAACAGGAAATACAGTATTTACCTGGACCTTCTTGTTTTTTTTGGTTTCCACTATCGATGAAATTTAACCCTACCTTTTTTTATATATACTAATGGTAGTAGTGCACTAAATAATTTTTATTCAATCAAATAATGCACTAACTAACATGCAAAAAACAGACAATGTCCTATACATATCATAATTTTCCTGGCTTTCTAACCATGCAACAACATTCGTTACAAATTCATCCAAGCTACTTGATGTGTTTCCCATGGGGACTAATATACTGAAAGACAAATTAAAATTTTCTGTACAAAAAACAATGTAATACAATACATTACTTGATAGATAAAAACCTTGGCTTTCTATTGGATATATATATAATATAGTATTAAATGTCAGAGAGAACTATTGACAAATTCTGAAAGAGAGGATGTAACAGGTGGGTGTGGCAAGAGGGGTCTAATTTTCTATTTGAAGTATCTATAACCAAACAAGATTAAAGGCTGTAAAAATTGTGCTTTACCTGAACAATGACAACATTATAATGAGTTATTTACATTAAATTTTGTACTTCTTGGAAGGGTGGTAAATAAATTATAGAAGAGAAGATGACTAAAGAAAAAAATGTCACATTTCTCACACCAGAAGAAATTCAGAATTTTTTTTAATATTGCCTTATAAAATTAAAAACTTTAAGGCATGTCCCTTTGTATCAAAATTAAGAGGACAGTGAGAAATTTTGAGGGAAACCCTTGAGACACACCATTTTTCATACTGAAAAGTGCTACTAAAGATAAACAAGTATATGCATTTCATGGAATAAAATGTGTTGGCACTGTTTTGCTAGTTACTTCTATATTAAAAAAGTTACTGTTTCAATTCTCTAACACCTTTTAAGTTTCTAAAGCAAACTTTTATGTAATTTGTGTGGATGTGGCACATTAGACATGTATAAATTAACTGCACTCAATCAGGAATGTCATGGTAGATGCATCACTAAGACATTGATATTAATACTGTAAGTAGTTTAAAGGTTATCTTGGGTTATATTACATTAGCTCAATAATTTTGGGCATATTTTATTCTTCATTTATCTAGTTTCTTTTATATACAGACTTACAATAATGAATCTTAAAAGTTAAACAACACAAAGAAATGTCAAAATAGACATACACGTGGCCATGATCAGTGTGACTAGTGCCTCAGTTGCTTGCCATGTAAGAGAGGCTTGCCTATGTGATAGACCAATTTTTAACCTTGTTTTGGATCTAAATTCTAGGCTAGTGGCCCTATATTTGGTTTAAAATGAAATGAATATGTTATGTTTATTACTTAATACATATGCATTAGAAATATTCATTCAGTAGAATATAGATATGCTCATTAAACATTTGCATTAGACAAGTCAAAATGACACATATGCCAATGAGTCTGCAATGTGCAATTTTCAAATGGACACATGGAATTCCTGCAATTTCACACTCTTAGCACAAAACTGCACACAGTACATTACTTCCAACATTAATTAAATTATTCTGAAAAATTCTGACAAACATATTTTATGCAGCCCACAGGTTAACAATTTAGTCTATCATCCACTACATCTATTAAAATTAAGCTGTTGAATAAAATTCTAAACATTATCTATAAAAAAAAGTTAGAAACATATATTTTACTGAAAAAAACTATCTTCCAATAGTTTTCTGACACACACTTCTAATTGAAAGTGCACAATTAACACATCATAAGCTATACTCAAGGTATTCTCAATCACTGAAAAAACAGCTTGTTACATATCAAGTCATTAGTGCAAACACAAATTTTGGATAATTCGGATTTATGAGCATGACTGAAAATGAACAATAGTTCAGTATACTTCAAAACTTGTCAGTAAGTTACCAAAAGCGATCCCTGAAAAACAAGCTGTTCCTTTAATAGTACAGTTGCAGTGTGTAGTAGTTTTCTGGACTAATCCAACAACAGCAACCTTGTAGTCATGATTTTAATCACATTTCTCTAAATAAATTTTTACTTCTAAAAGCTATAAAGAGCAATGAGAGATAGATAAGTAAAATTTCTCTTTTTACTCAATAAATAGGTGTCTAGATCTACAAAGTTTCCTTTACTAGCTGTTCTTTTCTAGGTATGTGTACCTTACTTAAGTGACTTGATACCATTTTTAAAGTTGTTGTTGTTGCCTGTACAGAAAATATTCTTAAGTTATCAAACAAGAATATGATTAATGAATTTTATTAATTTAATATTGTCATTGCTCTAATCATCACTACTTTCACTGCTTTTTTTAATAAAATAATCCATTTTTAACATATAAAAATTGTTTTATTACAATTAGCTAAACCATGAAGAAGAAGTACTCTCAAGTCCATGTGAAAAATAATACACGTTAAACTGTACCTGATTCTTGTAAATAACGATAAACTAGGAAATTTACTTCGTCACTGCTGAAGCTCATAGTTGCATTCTTTTTCTACCACAAATAAATAAAAGAGGTAAGTGAAGTGTGTTCACCTGCAAAAAAATGTAAGATGACTATAAGAAATCAACTGAAACTGAATAGTAACACAAAATAAAGTAACTGAATAACAATTTGAAATTTAAACCTACATAAGCCCACACATCAATTAACAGCACATTTTAGCCCCTTAATTATCAATATGACTAGATTAGTTCAATTTTTTCTACTAACATAGGTGCATACAATATATTTTTGTCCATCGTTGTAATAACTAACTAAAAATGCATCATTATATTATATCTTTCACTGACTTGTCATTGAAAACAATCAGGAGAGGCATACACATACCATTTTGATCAACCTGATAACTTATTGGTAACAAGCTAGAGTACCCATCCCCTGAATGGAAGTGATGTATTCTTTAATGTTGAACCAGACGTAAAAGCTTTTCAAGTCGTGTTACATTATAATTTATGATTTGATAAATTTATTCTTTAGTGTTAAAGTACAAATAAATTTATTTTTCTACATTGTATGTGTTATAGTGTAAGTTGTGACAGGCAATGGCACATGTGGAACCAACTTTCTCATCATTGGGCAAATGCTCATGAAATAGCAATCTATATTCACTTAGTCATGCCAACCTTTTAACCATGTGAATACTAAAAAGGTAAATATACTAAATGAATTTGAATAGATAAAAAAAAAGATCAATAAATTGATACTTGCATATTTTAATGCTATACTATGTTATTAAGGTAAGAAAACAGCACCATGGCATATAAATTTGCTTCTACATTGTACTTTATATCAGACAGAATATAAAAACATATTTCATGATCACTTGTGTATAATCAGAATATGATTGCAATATTTAGAGAATAAAATTGTATTTAACGTAACTTTACTGATTCTTACTCTATAAAATAAACTGTCTCAGTTCCTTTTCTTTGGAAGAGGTTTTCATTTTTTGAGAATGATGTGAATCATCGTGGAGTGTGTGCATCTTTTGCTGGTATGCTATCAAATGCATGACGACAACAACATTACATTTGTCAGATTTCAGTAAAATTATACTTTCGTTACTTTTTAATAGTTTTAGTACTTTAAGTTCTTTCGGGGAAAGGTTTGATTCCAGCAATCTAAGTTTGTACACAAGTGTGTGTGATACGTGAACATAAAACATGAAGAACAGGTAAAATTTGACTATTTTCTTGAATCTTGGGAAAAGACAGAAAGGTTAACTGTAGGTTTTGGGGAAGAGTGTTTTGGTTATTTAATGAATGATATTGATTATTTCTACTTTCATGAATGATGTGGCAAGAGTTTGAATCCATATGGGAAGAGGTGTATATTTGATGAACTAAAATGTTCCTAAATAGCTATTTTTCTAACAAAGTCTTCTAATCCTGTCTGGAATTCAAGTGTAGGGAGAGTTCTGCATGTAACAGCATAGTTGAAACCTTTTTCCAAGATATGAATTCCATCAGTGGATAACTGGTGGCTGGAAAGGTTAAAAAGATTTGTTTTTTTTACAGTGTAGTGGAAGTAGGCCTAATCACTTGCAGCTATGATTATTGTGTTGTCCAGACTTAACTGTGGGAATAAAATTACAAGTAGGTCAATAGGGTTGAGTTCTAGGATTAGGTTAATATTAGGTCATCAAGAAATTAATGTCACTTTTTTTTTAGATGAAAAACCCAAACAACATACATATCAAAACAAAACATTTATTAAATGAAATAGTCTCCAT